GCAGGGATCCGCTGGCCGGTCAGACGCAGCGGATGCTGCCACGCGGGCAACCGACACCTGGCCCGGGGGATCACGTATGCAAATATAAAAAAAACGTGGTCACACCCTTCAGGAGAGATGTTGTTTTATAAAGTTGAAGCCCTTACATGCCCAAGCCTGTTTTGTTTTAAATTTTCAATTCGTTTTGTCGTAGCCAAGACGTAGTGCCGCGAAGTTTTTGAATACATGTTAGGTTAGGTAATATTTTTATTCCTTTATTTTAAGATTTACCAACATTTGATTACATTATTGCATAATAATAATAATAACACACACACTCAACAGTGTTACATTACAATGTTAATAACGCAAGCTAGGAACGCCTTGAATTTTAATTATGTCCCAAAAGTTAAGCTGTGTGGCACTCCTCTGAATAGGGTCGTTATAACCAGACATAGACACGAAATGTTTATTATTGGTAATTTATTTGAAAACTATTCTGCACAAATAATTACGGTGACAAATGCGCTCCGATTGGCCAGTTCGAATTTGGAACAATTGACGGGTGTCGTTAATCGTTTCACTTCAAACGACCCGTTTAACTTGAGCTTTGCTATAATGGACGACAATTGAAAAATTACACATTTTTATTTAATTACCGATGAAATGTGATTCCGTTTGTTTTGTAATTAGATGTTTTGTTGTTTTTCCCACACCACCGAATGGAACAGCCCCCAATTGTTAGAGATATAATCTTTATTACAATAAATACAAAATATTTTTGGAATATACGGAGACGAACACACAGGTCAGTTCTTGGCGCTATACTATTTCAGCTTTCTAATTTGTGATTTCAGCGCAAACGAGAGTTGATATTTGAAAGTGATATAAGGCCCATTTGCCTGATGAGTTGCCAGGGATGGATGACACTTATTTCTCTATTTCCGGTTATATACTCGATGGCATTGGGTCTTTGGAACATAACACAGATATTGAGAGAGAGCGTAAGGCGTTGGCAGTGCGGGGCAACATGTTGGCCCGAAGATTTGCAAGGTGTTCTAGCAACGTAAATTTATCGCTGTGTAAAGGCTTCTTGCCAGACCTTTACACCTGCAGCACCTATGGTCAACTAGACACGGAAAGCTGTCTAAGAGTCGTGTACAATAATATATTCAGGATACTCTTACGGCTGCCACGGTTATGTAGCGCGTAAGGAATGTTTGCCGACACTCATGTAGATGGAATTGCCGCCATCATGAGAAAGAGAGCGGTATCCTTGATGCGCAGAGTGCGTGGCAGCGGTAACGTCATCGTGATTGCTGGCAGGGTCCGGATTCAGTTCTTGAACACTGGACCAAACTTCATGTATACACTAAACCCAGTACATGTAAGTTGTAATTACTAACATTAGTGTTGTTACGGACGGCCGTACGCGTCTGGACAGTTAGAGCAGTATGAGTGGAATTACGTAAATAATTCAAGGACTCTGATTGGCCGGGTGGCGTCTGAGGCGCATTGATAGGGCTGGTACGGTGTGAGAGACGTCGCGCCGTGTCATATATGTAAGATAATCTTGTACGATTTGTTGATTCACTTTCATTCTTATTCGATATTCAGATCCGAGTTGTTGATCGATTTTTCAACTTGTAAGTCAAACGGGCATAGAGATAAGGTGTTCAAATAAGTTTTTATTGAAATGTACACAGGTGTATACAGTCCACTTTCCTAAGTTTGAATACATCCAACAAGTGTGTAAGTTTTTTTTTGTTATACTAACCAATATGGATGAATAATCCGAAATATAGTAATTGAATTAAAACTAAATATGTCAAACAGTTACAGCTATTTAAATACCACTTGCAAATTAGTAAGAAATCTATAAAATTGACAACATAAATTCAAGTACCTAGGTAAATGGAAAATCAATAACAATTAATAACAACAGCAGCAGCTAAAACTGAAATAAAAATATAATAATGCATTTGGTTTACTACAAAACAAAACTACACCGAATAAAAGTAAGTACTTGTTTATTAAATAAACTAACTGTCAGAAAAAAAAGGACACCAAAAAATATATATTTCATTATTTCATTTAACAGCAGTAGAGCGCCTTGTCAAGAGTTCGTCCAGAGAAATACTGCCACCTTACCTATTTCTGCCGTCAAGGAGTAATGTTAGCATTACTGCTTTCCGGTTTTGAAGGGTAAGGGTGCTGGTGAAATTACAGGCACATGGGACTTGTCAACTTACGTCTCAAGGTGACGGGCGCAGTGCCCCTCAGATCTTTGCGATTTAAAGCTCCGTGTGGCACTGCAACTGTTATGGACAGGCGTGTAGCTTACCATCAGACGCACGACTCGTTCTTCCCGTCACTTGATATTATAAAAAAATATTACAATATTTTTAAGCGATGTATTTGTAGGTAATAAATAATGAAAACTCGAGATGCGAGAAATTTGTGTGGGAATATGAACTTTGCTCTCCCCAAATTTGGGGGATTGTAACCGTGATTTTTGAGACTTTTAAATAATTGGCATTGGCAACGCTGGTGTGTCCATGGCACCTGGGACACGGTTTCCCTAGTGCTATGAGTGTGTGAAAAAAAAAATTGTTGATGTCGATATCTAATATTAATGCAAACCGAATTATAGTAACAAAAATATTACTTTAACGACTATATTTGAAATTTACCAAAACATTATGACGCTGCATCCTCGTGACAGAAATGTGACCTTCATAGATTCTATGCGAGGTTATGGACTCTAGACGAAAGATTGATTGAATTATAGTTTTAATCGAGCAACACAAGCGACGAGAGATGCACTCGTGCTCGGTGACAACGTGTGGCATTGGCGGTTACATGTCGTATTGTTTTATTAGTACCTATGTAATATGTGTATATGCAAATATTAGTAGTGAATTACGTAAATAATTCACGGGCTCTGATTGGCCGGGCGGAGTCCGCGGCGCTTGATAGGGCCGGTACGGTATGGGAGACGCCGTATCGGCATATTTTGAAAGAGAGATTTGTTGTTCGATTTTATTATTCAGTATTTTAAGTTATATGGGACATAGAGATAAGGTGTTCAAATAAGTTTTTATGGAAATATATACAGTCCACTTTCATAAGTTTCAATAAACCGGAAGATTACGAAGTTATACGGAATTTCATTGAAGAAGGAACCAACGACTTATATCGTTCATTTGGTGCTACATTGAGGTAATTGATCTAAGCTAAATATGGAAAAAAAAATACTTATTTTTTAAACGTTAAAATGGCGTTGTACCTTTTTAAAAAAGCGTTTTACAAAACGCTTTTCACATTTAAGCGCATAGACTTTTTATGTTAAAAAAGCTTGCAAAAGCAAGAGCAGTCCACTAAACTGCCGTCCATTAACTAAAACGCGACTAAGTGAAAAATGGTCAAATATCCGTGTTATATAGCAAAAATAGAGCACAAAATTCTCTTTTAAAAACTGTTAAAATTAGTTAACGTGTTCGACTTCTCAGAACTTTCCCTAACGATGCATAGCTGAAATATTAGGGGTTAGAGTATGAAATTGCCGTTTTATTGCAATAGGTTCTTTGAATTTTCATAGAATCTTCATGGTTTGAGGTTTTCGAATGAAACTTTTTTCAAATGGTTTCTGTGATTTTTTTTTTTTAATTTGAAACATTTGAATATCGACTTTCAATTGTTTTTGTTATTCAATTTAGACAAGAAAGATGGATACTGCGAAAATTCGAGTGATTTTTGAATACGAGTTCCGACGCGGAACTAACGCGGCAGAAACAGCCCGCAATATCAATGCTGCGTTTGGAGAGGGGTCTACTAATTAACGCACCGTGCGATTTTGGTTTAAACGCTTTCGTGATGGAAATTTCGACTTAAAGAACGAGTCACGAGGAAGACCGCCCACACAGGTGAATAACGATGAATTAAGAGAGATAGTGGAAGCCGATCCTAGTCAAACTACCCAGGAATTAGCGGCATGGTTTAACGTTACCTTACCCACAATATTGACTCACTTGCGTCAAATCAATAAAATAAAAAAATACGAAAAATGGGTGCCTCATGATTTGACTGATCTGCAGAAAGAAACGCGTGTTGAAACTTGTGTTGCCTTGTTGAACCGGTACAGAAATGAAGGAATATTGGATCGAATTGTAACATGTGATGAAAAGTGGATTCTTTATGATAACCGGAAAAGAAAAATGCAATGGCTGACCCCAGGTCAAATGCCACAACAGTGTCCTAAAGCAAAACTTACCAATAAAAAGGTCATGGTAACTGTTTGGTGGTCTCAGCATGGTGTTATTCACTATAGTTTTCTCCGATCTGGTCAAGCAATAACGGCAGATGTCTATTGTGCCGAACTCCGAACCATGCAGCCCCGACTCATGAATCGATCTTCACCATTATTGCTCCACGACAACGCGAGACCTCACACAGCACGAGAAACCATTTTGACCCTTCAGGAACTGCAGTTAGAAACCATTCGTCATCCTCCGTATTCACCAGACCTTGCTCCAACGGACTACCATTTTTTTCGTGATTTGGACAATTATCTACGTGACAAGAAATTTTCTTCCCAGGAGGCAGTACAAAATGCTTTCACACAGTTTGTGCAGTCTAGATCGTCGGAGTTCTATCGCAAAGGCATTAATAACCTTCCCATTAGATGGCAGCAATGTATAGATAATAATGGCAACTATTTTGATCAAATAAATTTGTTAAAAATTTAAAAAATAAACAATTTAGATTTTCAGTACAAATCGGCAATTTCATACTTTAACCCCTATTATCATTAAACAATTTCAATATTCTAAAACTAGGTTATGGCTTTTTATGATATATCAAAAAACTATTTAACCGCGTTATGACGGCAGCATAGTCGTTTGAGTGCGCTTCAGTGTCCCGAGTCTACTTATGTAATAGTTTTGCTGTCTCTATACTTCAGTAAATATACCGACAACTGTCTCCAGCAGACATGCTTCCAGCTTGACAAGGATTTGAATCTAAAATAAAACAACATCATAGAACCTACTCAATTTATTCATCTTTTTCAGCCGCAGTTGTATATGCCTCAATCTTTCTTCATTTGAAATTGTCTTTTTCTTTTTCGTATACTCCGGTTCAATGTTCCTCGAAATTGTAAGCTTAACCAGCTTAATGTTAAAGAACAACTTCTCACAGCGGTCACACTTCTGTTTCTTCCCGACTTCACTATGTTCTCTTAAGTACACATATTTATGTTTCTGATTGCTTTTGAAAAACAAAAAACACACTTCACACACCTTGACTAACTTCACGTCTTCATATTTTCCAGTAATATTCGAACTTTCCATATTATGAACGTCTGTATGCTTGATACGTTCGCTTTCTGTTACGAATCTTTTGCCACAAACCGAACATATGTATATGAAGTGGTAATTGATTTTATGGCGGTACCAATTGTAGTATCTGAGGCCACAGGTGCTGCATTTTGACAAGTGCGAAGTCTTCCTTTCGTTCAATAAGTGTTTTTCACCAATATGTTTCAGGCTGTGGTTGTTACCGTCGATGTAGCGGTCACAATGAGGGCAGAGTGGTGGGAGATGTTGTGTGAACTTCATGTGTATTAGTTCATGTTGGATTGATTTGAACCTGGAAAAATAAACAACATACAAATTAATTTCAACTCAAGAAAAACTTTAATAAGTAGATGAGTCGAACTGGACTGGAATTTAAGACATATTGGTGCTATGTGAAATTAGAAGCAGCTGCCCCATATCTTCTACATTAGTTTTGATCATAGTGACCCTCCTGACTCTTAGGGTATACGAGAACCTGTGCGGGCACAGATTACACACCTTACAAGTTCAGACTCTGACCCCAGATCAGCCAGGGTTGTCACAGACCTCTGTCACTTGACTTCATTCAATTCTGGAAAGGCTAGTGCCTACAGTACCCGCCCTATTTTCCAGATAGGTACCGTAGCTGTAGGCACGCTCGCTTTCCATTACGCAGTACATATACGGTTGCCACCACTAAGGCGTCGACTCTAAAGTCCACTAGCGAATTTCCTCATCGGTGGCTGAACTATAAGCCACGCGTACTTCCCGACGCCGAGAAACTACGTCTCTCCAGTTCCCAAGAACCTAAGCCGCTGAAGGCCTTTGTTCACTGTAGTACCATTAGACAGTGCCATTAATGGTACAGAGTGTTTAACTATGGCTATTCCATTCGGTGGTGTGGGAAAAACAGCAATCATCTAATTGCAAAACAAACGGAACCACATTATATCGGTAATTAAATATTAAATATGTAATTTTTCAATGTTTGTCCATTAAAGCAAAGCTCAAGTTACATTTCTGGTTATATAATATACTCGGTGCATACCGGTTTGCATGGTGCCGCCATATCCGAGGTCCTGGTTTCGATATCCGGCCGGGTCAGTGTAGAAAAACTAACGTTTCTATATTGGTCTGGGTGTTTGTGGTACCGTCGTTGTTTCCGATGTCCATAACACTAGTGCTTTATCTACTTTGGGATCAGAGCAACGTATGTGTCTAATTTTTTTTTTTTAATCTACCCAGTAAGAATTTCATTATAGTAGGATGATAAATATACAGTATATTTTTTGATGATGATGCAATTCCTGAATGTGCCGTTCTTTTAACACATAATGATTATTTCTACAAATTTAAATGTAAGTTGCGCGTTCTTACAGCTTAATGTTTTGTTTTCGTTGTTTTTTTTATCTTTCACAAAACATTTATTATAAATTAATACAATTGTACTGACATATTGACATCAATCAATTATGTACCTTAAATTTCGTGTATTAATGAATAATTTGAATTTGATAATATTCAAAGTCTTTATTTTAGTATTATTATAATTTCATTGTATCTGGGTATATGTGATGTGGCTACCTGTAAATTGGCTTACACTTGTTCCTTCCCCAATATTGTCTTTTTATCTTAATTTTTATGTGTAATCTGTTGGTGTTCCAAACAAATGAATTCCTGTCCAGTACCAGAGTTTGTCTACAGTGCTTTTGAATGTTCCAGACTTTAGCTTTGTATCTGCTTGTCTATGGAGGCGTGTGTGCTCTGGTTCAGCAGAGTGAGCTTTGCCAGACTATGTGCTATCCCTATAAAGGTTTCAGAACCAACAGAGACCTACCTAACACTAGATCTTGCTAAATCATCCGCTGCCTCATTACCCTGGATGTCAAAGTATTATGTTATCATATAAACCATTTATTTATTTCTAGCATATTTCTTACCTATTGGAACTAGTCATTCCGCAACGTTGACAAACACACATTTTGTCTTCTATTAATTCGTCATAATGCACACTAGGAGTGGAAGTTTCTGGTGCCCTGGTACCCACGAGCATCTTCCCTAGATATAGTTCCGTCTCTTTCACACCTGTATGCCTATCTGCTCCAGGTAGATGTGTTAAATTATATTCGAAGTTGTCAAAACTTATAAGATCTTCTTCGACGTCTTCGTCATCTTCAAAAATTAGTTTATTTCTTATATTTTCCTTTCTTATCTCAGAATTTGAATCTTGCATGTGGAATAGTTTGATTTTGGCAACATTTTCGAATTTATCTTCCTGTACCTTTTTAATGGTAGCTATTTCAAAATCGTTGAAGTTTTTCAATTCATTTTCTTGCGTTATCTCCTGAACGGAATCTTTATTATAGTTTATTTTTATAATTTCTGCTAAACTGTCATCATGTTCAACAAATGTTTTCTCCTCAACATATGTTTCCTGATACAGTAACCTGGAAAGCGTATCTTCAACTAGAACAACAGGTTGTTTTTCTATGGTGTTTTTGACACGAGCACGTCTAAGAAGTTCATTGACTATAACATCACATGTTACTAACGGTTCTTTGGTGAACATAGAATTTAATATCTCAGTTTTATTAATTTTTGAAAGTGTAGATTTTGATTTAGAGTCGTTACTCGAGTCTGAGATGTCTATAATGTCTTCATTTTCTTCCATGTTAATCAAGTTCTGATCATTTTGTTCCTCATTGTTGTTATACTTCCAATCAGGTGTCTGAGAAACTTTATACTGATCGACTTTCTCAACACTGTTATTTTGACTAGGTATTTGAGATTCACTATTTCGAGGATCAGGTTTCTTATAATCGTTATTCTCATTAGGATTGTGATGCTTATTTTCATTTTGGTTTTCTACAGACATACTATTCTTATGTTTGCTTTCTACATGTTGTATCTTTATTGCATGATAAGTTTCTTTATGTTCTAACAGATGTTTTTTAGATAGAAAGTGCTGGTGGCATTTATAGCATTTACAGACTTCGTGGTTTATTAGGGGTATTATAATGTGACGTGCGTTGTGTACTAGTATTTGGTACCTGTAAAGAAAACAATTTTTTTTAATACATAATTATAATTACACTTACACAACATATCTTATACTTCATTTTTTTAATTAATTGAGGGAACCATCATAGTTTTAAGCCCGCAATACATGTTGGCCGAGCCTAGGCCAACGCGAGCGTAGGCCTAAGCTCGGCCAACATGTATTGAACGAACGAAATTGATTAGACGAAATTTGTGGAGCTGCCCACACGTTAGCCGCTGTCATTTCCATTGTGCACTGAAACAATATGACGACGCCAACGTAGAAGTTAATGCAGCTGCTGCTGCTTATTTAATGAGCGCCTATAATTATTACGTTAGTGTATACCGCAATACAATTGTAAAAAAGAAAAGACAAAAAAGAAAGTGGTGGATGCTGAGTATTTACAAAAATAGGACAAGGAAAGATGAACATAGAAGAACGTCGGTGGGGTTCCAAATAACAGGTTCATTCTGATAGAACTCCAAAATTTGAAAATATCTTGATTTTTACTGAACGGCCTTTTGCACGTATTACAGCGACAGACGCCAACCGAGCGCCTTTAATTTGTACAGAAAACCCGACACCGCTTCGAAGTGAGACGAGTGGTCGCGAGTGACGGCGAGTAGTGAGTAGTTGTTATATAAAGCTTTTTCTGACCAGCTCAAGCCCATTTCGAATAAACAACTGTGGTGACTGCCTGAATTTATAATAGTCATGGTATTTATTGATTGGCGGTGGACAACGTAACCCTTACTCGAAAGCATGGCTCCTGGCGTAAGGCGGTCCTCGAATGGCGACCTTGACGAGAAAATCGCCCGAGGGAGATCGCACATGCGTAGGAAGGATCACACAAAGAAAGTGGCGGGGTTTAATTGGATACAGGTGACACAGAACTGACAGAAATGGCAGAAACTGAAGGAGGTCTACACCGATGTGGTTGAGAACAGCTAGAAAGAAAAAAGAAAGATGGTCTTTTTATGATTACGGTTCGGATCCTGCGAATGTTTAATGGCAATGGTATGGTAAAGTGTAAGTGCTGGTGTCCGAAACTCGATGCCCAGGCGCCTATTTGGAGTGTGATGGCTGCAGGGTCCTACTCGTGCGATCCAAGCTCCTCCAGCAATCTTAGCATCCTCATGGGTCTGCTGAAGTCTTCGTGTTTAGTTTCAACACCTCACCCTAACTGGTCTTTTCCTTCATAAAAGGTCTCATGGAGCCTGCATGTTGAAGAATGATTAATCCCTTAGAAAATGTGTGAAGTCTCCACCCCACATTCAACCAGCGGCTAACTATGGTCTAAGCCCTCTCCTTGGAGGAAACAACCTCTACATTGGATGTATAATCAGTTCACTATTATCATAATTTTGTATATCTACTTGTTACGGACAGCGAACGAGAGCGCGTCTTCGTTCCCCGCACCCCGCACACCGCATCGAAAGGAATCACCGCCACAGCACCCCGCACACCGCGCTGACCCGCCGTCGCTCTAAGATCGTTACTAGTTGAGAGACCAATAGTTGTACTTAAATAGGAACATTTCGAGCAACAAACGTAGTCAGTAGTCAGTCAGTAAGCAGTTGAACAAGCGTTTAATTTCCGATCCCGATCCCGAGAAGAGCAAGAACTGAACGTCCTTCATGAAGGTCGACAGACGTTGAGTTTGTACTTTCTCCACTAATCAATTAACATTCGCATTGTGGTGACTTTCACCCATATGTACCACTCAACAATACCCGCAAACTTTATTATACACTATTATTTATATTATTATATGTGTCATGATTTGTGTAAAAACGTGCGTATTATTAACTTTTATATTTTAATGATATATTAAATAGTATTAAAATACAATAACTCTTGGGTTTTGTACCGAATTATAATAAGTTCTTTCTTGATAACCTTCATTATCAGATTTTATAAAAAATCTTTGATTGCGTACTGCTTTATTGTTAACTTTCATTACTGAACATTTACCGTCATGTTAATTTGCAATTGTAATTTTCGTATGTTATTGATCTTAAATTGTTAGTTTAAAATTATGTTAAAGATTGTAGCTGAAATCGAGAAACAGGAAATATGTTGTCGCGCGCATGGCGATAGTGGAGCCATCTTTATCGGAAACTAAGAATATTAACCTGTCATTATTTTAGGTTAAAGGTGTTTAAAAAAAATATAATTTGTTCAAAAACGTATTACGGTTAATAATTTTGTATTTTATTAATCAATAACTCTTGGGATTTTGTACTTGTTGCCAACGCAACTGAATTTGTAGTAAAATTTAATATAACTTTCAAAGCATTAACTAAACGCTCGTCAAGGGCACATATGTAGCCGCCAGACCCAAGTTGATGATGAGGATGCCGACGAGCTCGTAAAATTAAAAGACGATTTAAGTTGACTGTAATATATTGGCAATAGGTTGCTGGTTTACGGGAGAAGTGGTGGTTTCTTAAAGTACAATTCAAAATTGAACGTGCTTTTTGACCTTTTTGAGTTCAAACGAAAAGTTCGTTAAATTGTGGTAGGGGTGAAATAACATGTATGTGGTGTTAGTTGATTGGTTCAAAAAAGGCGCCTACGTAATGTGCCCTTGACGAGCGTTTAGTTAATGCTTTTGTCGCGAATCACGCGATAATCAATCATTTGGTGAGTAAACGAACTTCACCCAATTTTTGTATTGTGGTAACACTGCGTTGCCTTTGCTAACTTTTTATTTTGACACTATCGAGACGGCAGTAACGTCAACGGCAATGGCGGGAACCGAATGGACTTCAGTTTGGTTAAAACTAAAGATATGGCTGTGTAAGTGAATGTACCCTAAGAGACAAACAACTGGTAAGTTCCTCAATATAATGTTTAACTTTACGCTTGCATAGACACGGTGGAAAGACACACAACTGAGTAAATTGACGAGTTTAATATTGTTACGAAACATGTTCTATGACTATCAATTTTGCCACGTGCTGACTCGACCCGCAGTAGGCTAGCCTCATTGACGCTTATGACTGTGGGTGCCTATCGTTGGCATCAATCGGGTCGGTATTAGCTGGCATGTACGCTTGCACCGCGATTAATGGCTATCGAAGTTTGAAACCTGTTGGGCAGAGATTGGACTAAAGGGGAGGCTGGAGGTCCACTCGGGGCACCTCTCAAGGTGTTCCGCCCCAGTACATAGGCGAGATGTGCTGGGGGTTTGTACGCGACATACGAGGTACACCTCTACGGTTCCTCGTCATAGCACAATGTAGTGTTATGAACGTTTTAATCATGGTTCAGTGTATGTATACCTATAAATTAAGTATCTTTTGTCGTCCTTCAACATCTACATTGAGAATATTTGAACCAGGTACACAGGTATCACAGTCTAGTCTAAATCCAATAAACTACAAAGTGGTGCCAGCTTTGAAAGTTATATTAAATTTTACTACAAAATCAGTTGCGTTCGCAACAGCACCGAATTATAATAAAAAGTTCTTTAGTTGATAATGTTCTTCAATAATGGATTCCATAAATATATTCGATTGCGTACCGTTAAATTGTTAAGTTTCGTTAAAGAACATTTTACTGTCATGTTAATTCGCAATTGTAATTGTGGAGTTCGATTGATCTTGAAATGATTGGTTTAAATTTACGTAAAAGATTGTAGCTGAAGCCGAGAAACGGGAAAGATGTTTCACGCGTATGGCGATTGAGGAGCCATCTATAACGTAGAATATAAAAAGATATTAAGTGGCGCGGGCTGGCATTCTGTTCCGGTTTTTCGACAATTTGAGTCAAGACATAGTGTTCTGTGGTAAAGACCATATAGATAGATAGATAATAGATAACGCACACACTCAACATAGCCCCGCACTAGGGAAACCCTGTGTCGCGGGTGCCATGGACACACACATAGACAACCACAAATTACACCCAAACTCACGAGAGAAATAATTGTAGGCCAAACAACTATTTCTCCCTGCCCGGGAATCGAACCTGGGGCCTCTGCGTGGCAGTCCGGCATGGTAACCGTTCGGCCACGGAGGCAGTTATATATATTATATAATGTTTATATTATTTTATTATATTTATATTATATTATTATATTTATATTATTATATATATATAATGTTTGTGCACTTAGAGATAAAAATAAAAATGAATAAATAACGTTTGAATAGCTACTCATGGATATTTAATTTATTACATATGTATACTTACCCTTTAAGACGTCAGTTTCTGAAAAGCGGGACAATTGAACTACTGACTTTTATATGGTCGGTATATTACAAATATGAAACGCATTAATGCTCAATTATTTAGTCTTAAGTGGAGACTTCTTTTGTGTAATAGGTCCATGAGGTCAAACATTTTTACAGCAAGCACTACGCTCTAAGCAATGGCGGTGCAGAGATTAATTACCTCAGCTACTTTAAACATACCTACTATGAAAGATTTCATCACAAAACTCGCACTTTTCCTTAATTGTCTTGTATAAATCATAGTTTTTCTTTTCAGTTTCTTCTTGTTCTTGGTCTAAATCTTGTTTTATCACTTTTAGAGGCACATCATCATCGTCGGAACTTGATGAATAATAGCGTTTTTTCCGTGGCATTCTGGAAACAAAAAATATTATTAATTTTTCAAAAAATTCAGGAAAAATCAATTCCAATATCAGAAATTACAGGTCAAGTGAGAATTAATACCAGGACCTGCTGGATGATCAAATTACAATTGAAATAGCCCCCGAGAACAGCACACTTTCTAGAAATACACTAGAAATTGCCATACAATTAGGCAGAGAAAACTAACCTAAAAATTACCTTTATCGCCTAATAAACAGAGCAGAATCTCCACTATGTCACTTTTGTAACAAACACGAAGATATATCGTCGGTGTTTTATAGAAAGGGCGTAAGAGACATTTCGTTTGGATGTACGGCAGGTTGCGGGTTTCTAAGTAACCCATTGGTGATTGGTGAAAAGGGCTTAAACTCTTTTTTTTTTTATAATATCAAGTGACGGGACTAACAAGTCGTGCGCCTGATGGTAAGCTACACGCCTGTCCATAACAGTTGCAGTGCCACTCAAAGCTTTAAATCGCAAAGATTTGAGGGGCACTGCCACTGCGCCCGTCACCCTGAGACATAAGTTGACAATTCCCATGTGCTTGTAACTTCACCAGCACCCTTACCCTTCAAAACCGGAACACAGTAATGCGGATATTACTACTTGGCGGCAGAAATAGGTAAGGGGGCAGTACTACCCTGGACCTACTGCTACTAAACAAACATTTTTTGTGTGAATTCTTCCCACTCACTATGAGGCGATATCCCCAGATAGTGTAGAATAAGCCTTAGGAATTGACATCACAAGGCTGACATCGACATTGAAGTGTTACATGCCTTATTAAAAACAAAATTTAAAAAAATACCCTGACAACAAATAACATACTCTAA